GCTCACAGTTACCCGATAATTCCTGAAATTGGCCGAAAACATGATTTCTAAACACCTATGCATGATTCAATAACTACTCAATCCAAATCCCAACTAATCAACATGCATTCACATGCTCAAGCTCAATCTAAGAGAGGGAAGTCGTAGCCTACCTGTAGGCCGATCACGCGCGCTCCAAATCACTTCTCCGGAGCTTTTCCTTTTCGAACGGCCTCGAAACGCTGCCACGCTATAAAAAAAATAGAGTCACAATGTTATTACGGTCCTTTAGACACTAACATCACAAGAAACGGAGACGGACCAATTTCGAAGTCAAAACGGAGAATGTGGGACCCGTGCTGGAAATTCCAGAATTAACCCCAAAAATAGGTCCTAATCAGTTCCCCGAGCTCATGTCCCAAATTGGGACACAATTCGGGGATCGAAAACATCACAATATTAACATGCAACCAAAACCCGGATTTTCTCAAGAACTAGAAATGGGACAGCAGCTGAAATCAATAAATTTACCAGAAACGAAGGTCTACAGTGAATTCCAAACTACCACAATGTTCTCCTCAAAAAACCACTCAAAATAGCCACTGGAATCATCAAATTTGGACTTAGAATGAGGGAGAAATCAAGTCCCAAAATATTTCACAAATTGAATTCACGAAGTAGCCATGGCAGCAGATGAAAACAAGAATTTATCTCAAATGAAGGTCCCAAAGCAGCTTCCTAGCTCACCAACATGTTCTCCTCGAAAAATCTCACAACCTAGCCTCTTGAATCACCCAAATTAGAGCTCTATAGCTCAAGATATCACACTTTTAAAATGAGGGTTGAAAGCTGAATGAGAGCTTTTAAAGGGCGAAACTGGTCGCTAAAAACCCTAAAAATCTGATCGTTAAGAGCCCAAAATTTGGTCGCTAAAAGGGCTGCACCAGATTTCAGCTTTTGCTATTTCTTTTACGGTCTCCGACGGGGTTCTCGGGATTCGTTCGGAACCCGATAAAAATAAAATAAATATGCTACCCTACTAAATTCGACGCACCGGACTCAATGGCGCAGTTGGAATTTCCATCAGAGGTCATCTCGATAAAAAGTGGGTCCCACTCTTAAAGCCCATTTTAACCAAAGTCCACCGAGGGGCTCGGAATGAGTCAGGAGGCCTCGGGAGTCGAACGAAAGGTCGTTCTAGACCAAACTCGACATTCCGGGGCTAACCGCGTTGACGGAATTTTCATTCAAGTGCGTTTTCCAAGAATGTTGACCAAAGTCAACCTTAGGCCAATTTTCAAAGCTAAAATGCCTAATGATTCATACTTGCACGGAATGCCTCGATACTAGTGCCAACCATGCTACTAGCCTAATTTGGCCATTCCGGAGGTGATGGAACTGTCAGAATTCCATTATGAGGTCGTTGACCTGACATTTTGACTAAAATTAACTATTCAAGCTTCGAGGTCTCTAAAACACGAAAAGCTGCACAAAATCCAAACGTATGACCAAGCGACCAAACAGTCAGTGCCATCAAGTCATAAATCGACTTGGAGTCGCTATAGAAATGCTCTAAACGATGAAAAGAAGGCGGGTACACATAAATGACCTGGAGGGTCATTACAAATACATCCTTCTAGTATTACTATTTGTTTGTTTTTGTTAAAAGTAGAAGATTAATCTTCTCTTGCATTGACGTAGCTCATGACTGCTTATTATTCATTCATCGGTATGAATTCTAAAATCTGAATTGTGCTAATAAAACTCAACACATAACATTAGAGATGATAGAGCAAAAAATATATTTGCTACAAAACTCTATATATAACCAAACAACCAAGAAGGGTACTTCAACTAAGTTGTCAACATATGCATCCATTTAAAAGTACCCAAAGAAGAGACGTAAACATGTTTTGGTAAAAATCTGAGATTCACAGAAGCTTAACTCAGAGGCGGGTGTAGGATGATCTGGTGAAACAGTATCAGTAGCCATCTATAGATATTGATGACAATGAAAAATCCAAAAAATGATCTTTCTTCAACTGATAAATTCAATAGATTAAAGAAAGAAGGAAATATGGGTAGGCATTCTCAAATAGGCTCTCAAAGCAAATACAAAAGCAGTAGAGAACGAACTCACATAAACTCCAATCTACCCTTCAATGACTTAATAGAAACAACAAAAGAAAGTTCAGATCATGCCCCCTAATCAATTATTTCGAGCTTGATTATTTTTTAATAATTTGAATAGAAATGTTATAAGGCTTGAAATGGTTGATGATTCAGGGAAACCATCTTCTTCGTTTTTTCAAACTTGAGCCAATATCATTTGAAGGTATCTTATATAAATATAAATTGAGTATGTATGGCTCTCTGTTGCAATGTCTCTATGAACTAACTCTCAGGTCTTTCAATAGTATTTCATCATGACAAATATTATTACTTCTTGTAATTCAGTTGCTCACTCACATAGATGAAAATGTACTAACTTTTGTGGATCAATATATATAGTGTGATCAAGATGAAGAGTAGTGTACATGTTGGTGGATATTTCTGTAAACTTTCTAAATGTAAGGTCCCTCCCCACAATGTCCTGGTAGTTCACAACTATATTTGTACTTGGGTAAAGATTGCTCAGAGTGGAGTTCAAGTGCAAAAACAAAAGCCATAAACAAAAATAGGCTGATAGAATTTAGTAACTTCTTGATCGATTCAAAGCTAGAGCTCACTAAGATTGTTGATCTTTATAAAGACTCTTACTTATTATTCGTATTTTTATTTTTTGTCTTATGTTATTTTTGGTATAAAAATGTTTAGGCGAAATGATCTGATGGACCCCTATACTTGTATGCTTTTGTATTATGAACCCTTCTACTTAACCATTTATCAATTGAGTCCTTAAACTCTTTAAAACATAATATATCAAACACTCCTGACCATTGATTATGCTTATGTGACATTAAAATGAATGAGTTGGCGAGAGAGTGTAACCACATGCATGTAAAGGCAAGTGAAGAACATATTTAAATTTTATTAAAATAAAATAATATTTTTTTTAAAAAAAAAGAAGTCTTCTTCTTTCCTTCACATCACCTTCTTCAATCATCCCCCACCCCCACCCCCACCCCCACCCCTATCCCCCGCCCCAACCTTCCTTTTCAGGAGAGGTGGTGATGGTGATTGTTGGTCGGGAGAGGTGGACGGAAGTTGGAGGAAGGTGAGAGAAATAAGAATTCACTTTAAAGAATTATATTACCTTTTATTTAATATTTTGATTAATAATTTTTAAAAATATTTAATGAAAATTATTTTGACGTGTTATTAATTTATGTGACATGAATTTGGCCAGGGGCGGATCTACGTTGAACCAAGGGGGTTCATCCGAACCCCCATCGTCGAAAAATTACACTATATATATACGATTAACTTTTTTATTTATGTGTATATATATAATATTGAACCCCCTGAACATACACCAAAGGCGTAGCTCAGCGGCGTTGGGGGTTCAAGAATTCGCGCTCCTGCACGTTAGGTCGTGTGTTCGAATTCGAACAGAGGCAATTTTTTATCAGCCTTATATTTTAGGCGGGAATTTAAGATTTATTAGTTTAATCCCTAATTATAAAGTCAAATATTAAAAAGCCCTTTTCTTCTTTATTAAAACCCTGATAATCCCTAATTACAAAGTCAAATATTAAAAAACCCTTTTCTTCTTTTAGGATTTTTTCACGTTTTATTTTTTTCATCGTCCTTCTTCCTTGCTCTGGCTGTTGCTGGCTGCTGCTTGTCACTACTGGTTGCTGCTGGTTGCTCCTTGTCACTGCTGCTTGCTGCTTTTGTTGGATTGGTCATTATTGAAATCTTGAAGTCTATATCCGCAATCGTTTCTTTCATCTCCATTAATAATTACTTTGGTATGTTTTTGGTTCCCTTTTTTCTTACTAGATTTCTATATACCTTATTTCGTTATTTCTTGATGTGCTTTCTTTTAGTTTGCTGAATTATTGATATCATTGAAGTTTCATTTTTTTTGTTTGGCTAATTTAATATATTTTCTTAATCTAAAATTGGAGAGATAGAGAAATATAATGTAATAATCCAATAACCATTGCTTAAGCTTTTTGGTTTTGGTCCTTCTTGTGTGTATGCTTTTTTGTTTAATAGTTCTGACTTTTGAATGTGTGTTTATTTCTCTTAAATTCTAACTAAACTTTTACTTTACAATCCAGTCATAATATTCAATGAAGAAGTATTTTACCCCAATATCGAAATCAAGTTTAGCCTCTCATAGTCATAGTCAATCTAACCAAGAAGAAAATGCCAATCATTCTAAAGTACCATCACATTCTTCTCAAGAATTTGATTTGAGTACTTTAAAGTTTGATCCCGGTGAAAGAACTCCAATATTGAATTATCATCTAAATCATCGTGATGTTATTAGAAGGGCATACCTTGTGAATGGTCCTTGTCAACCTCGCTTGGAGGTGCATGAGTACCCTCAAACAAATATTTCTGGAGCAATGCGTCGTTTTAATCATGAATGGTTTGATGATGTATATCATGATTGGTTGGAGTACAGTGTTAGTAAAGATGCAGCCTATTGTTTGTATTGCTAGCTATTTAAAGATCACAATATTAATCAAGGTGGAGGTGAAGTATTTTCATGTACAGGATTTAAGAATTGGAATAAAAAGAGTGGTCTTGACAAGCATATTGGTCTGCAGAATAGCCCACATAATCGATCAAAAAAAAAATGTCAGGATTTACTACGGCAGCAATAGTCGATTCAATCTGCATTTGAGAGACAATCTAATCAAATTAAACATGGATATTATATCCGCTTAAGTGTTTCGGTTGATGTAGTAAGACTTCTCATAACTCAAGGACTTGCATTTCGAGGTCATGATGAATCTAAATCATCACTTAGTAGGGGTAATTTTCTTCAAATTCTCTTATGGTATGCAAAAAGATGTGATAAAATTCGTGATTATGTACTTGAACATGCCCCTCAAAATGATCAAATGACTTCTCCAATAATTCAAAAAGATATTGTGACTGCATGCAAGATAGAAACAGTTAAAGCTATTCTCGAGGAACTAAATGGTGACTACTTTGCCTTACTAGTTGATGAATCTTTTGATATTTCACGCAATGAGCAAATGGCTATTGTATTACGATATGTTGATAGAATGGGATTTGTGATGGTGCGACTTATTGACATTATTCATATTCAAGATACTAGTGCATTATCCTTGAAAGAGACAATTATTAATTTACTTGCTCAACATTCTTTGAGTCCATCACGTATGCATGGACAATGTTACGATGGGGCAAACAATATGCAAGGTGAGGTCAATGGACTTAAAATGTTGATTAGGCAAGAAAGTAGATCGGCTCATTCTATACATTGTTTTGCTCATCAACTTCAACTAACTCTTGTTGGGTCTCTAAAAAGTGTGTTGAAGTGGGAAAACTTGTAGTATTGGTCTCAAATATTTTTAATGTATTGGGATCTTCTTTTAAACGTATGGATGATTTACGAGATTCTCAAAAAGCAGCAATTCAAGATGCATTAGATATGGGTGAATTGACAGCCGGTAGGGGCTTGAATCAACAACTTGGTCTTTCAAGAGCTTGTGATACTCGTTGGGGATCTCATTATAAATCCTTTAACAATTTTATTCTTATGTTTGGCTCTATTGTTGAAGTTCTTGAATCACTTGCTCTTAATGCACGAAGTATGGTTGAAAGAGCCAAGGCAATGGGACATCTTGAATCTTATCAAACATTTGAGGTTGCGTTCATGTTGCATTTGATGAGAGATGTATTAGCAATCACAAATGAGCTCAATAAATGCTTACAAAGAAAAGGAGCAAGATGTTGCAAATGCCATGCTACTTGTTGAAGTAGCAAAGAAAAGGTTGCAAGTTTTAAGGGATGATGAATGAAATTCTCTTATTGCTAAGGTATCTATATTTTGTACTAAACATGAAATTTTGATACCTAACTTTGAGGAGCCATATGTTAGCTCTTTAAGATCACGACGAAGACTTGCTCACTATACAGTCTTACATCATTACCGTGTTGAAGTGTTTTGCAATATTATTGATTGGCAACTTCAAGAGCTTAATAATCGTTTTAATGAGGTATCTACTGCTTTGCTCCATGGAATTGCTTGTTTGAATCCAATTAACTCGTTTTCAAGTTTTGACAGCAAAAAAATAATGAGGATGACTGAATTATATCCAGATGATTTTGATGAATTTAATATGGATACCCTTGAGAATCAACTTGCAAGTTATATTGTTGATGTTCGTGATGTTGATGAAAGGTTCTCTGATCTAAATGGACTTTGTGATCTTTCCAAAAGATTAGTCCAAACAAAAAAACATTCAAATTATCCTTTGGTGTTCCGCTTAGTGAAACTTGCTCTACTTCTACCAGTTGCCACTGCATCCTTTGAAAGAGCTTTCTCGGCAATGAAGTTTATCAAGAATGACTTGCGAAGTCAAATGAGTGATGATTTTTTTAGTGGTTGTTTGGTGCCTTTTGTAGAAAAAGATGTATTTGATAGTATTCCTAATGATGCTATTATTAAGACATTTCAAGATATGAAACCTCGTAGAGTACAATTGTAATGATCTATTTAAGTTTTTAGATATATGTATGTGCCTATTATTTATGTGATTAATCTTTTTTTTTTAACCCCCTTGATGAAAATCCTCTCTCCGCCACTGGATTTGGCATGTCATCTATTTAAGGGAGAGTGGGCTACACACATGATAGAAGGGGATTAAAAATCATCTTTTGATTGAGTTTAATGGTTTAGTTGGTAAAGAGTTAAGTAGAAGGATCCACAATACAAATACATACAAGTACAAGGGTCCATTAGATCATTTCGCCAAATGTTTATTATGGTACTTGGTTTCTCGAACATATTTCCTAGGTAGATCAAACGCAATAAATTATATTAGAATTTAAATTGTTGGGCCTGTGCTTAGCACGGGCAAGAACCATTTAGTATAGAAAGAAACACAAGGCAAGACAAACAAAACTCATCAAGGAGACTTCTGCGGAGAGAGTCAGACTTTCGAATTAATAATAGGAAAATAATTATAATTGTTTGAAAATAAATAGATAACAATACAATATACATTATATTGATAATTGACTTAGACTTTCAAATTAATAAATAGTGATTTAAAAAAATAAAAAAATTAGTTCCACTTACCCCACTCCTCATTTAAGCCTAAATTAGCTAATTTACATTCAAAATTGATTCCTTTTTTCATGAAATCTTACCTGGGCTGCCTCGATTAACTTACTTGATTTCAAGTACTGAAATTGATGGCGTAAAGATGAAACTTCAAACAGTGTATCATCTGAGGAACTTTTATATGTTGCATCTTGATTTGGAGGGTTTGGATAATGAGAGATTGGGACGGTCAGAAAAGCCAAGAGGAAGCTTATGGGGACTTACTCTTCACTTCTTCGAGAATCTCTGATTCTCCGATCGTCTAGCTACATTGTATCTTTCATTAACGAAATTGTAGATGATCATGAAGCAGACTCTCTCATCTCCCATTCGACTAGTTTCATCCTCTTTTCGTTCTGGTCCAGTTAGGAGCTCTTGTTATAGCGATTTTCTTGCTCTCCATGTATGTGTTGTTCTTCTTTTTTTTTTCTATCCGGTGTTGGAGTTCACATTGGAGCTCCGATTAAATTTGAATCACGCATTGCAGGGCCCATTCAGAGGTGCGTTGTTCTATTTCTCCAATAAGGGCGATGGATTCATATCGAAAAATCTACATCAAGTACTTACTTTTAGAAATTGATTAAGGATAGATTTAGGGATTTAAATAGTTGAATTAGGGATTTACTTGGTATAAAGATTGATTTTGGGTTATAATTTGGGTGTAGGTCAAGTTATTTGGATGAGTTCTTAATTAGTGGGGTGTCTTTTAATTATGGATAAAAATTAAATAGATATTGAATAGACTTACTATATACGCAATGCATACACAATATACTTAGTTCGTCAACACGTCGCCGAGCATTAAGGACGAAATGAATCCATTTCCTCCGCCACCCCCGCTACCACTGCCACCGGTCTCCGCCTTTCCCCCGCCACCGCTACCACTGCCACCGGCCTCCGCCTTTCCCCCGCCACGGCCATCCGCCTCCGCCTTTCCCCCGCCACCGCCACCACCTTACTTCCACCACCCTACTCCAGCCAGTGCTCTGGCATATGATCTTCCTGGTGCTCTCTCATCCCTTACATCTCTCCTCAACCTCTCCTCAACTACTCTCAACTCTCTCTCCTCTCTTCTTCCTATACCCCTTGTTCCTCCCTCTCCTTCTCCAGCTCTAATCCCATGCCCTTTCAATCCCAACCATCGTCTTCCCCTTTCTTCCCTCTTCTCTCACTCTCTTCATTGCGCACCCATTTCCTCTTCATCCGCCGATTACATTCAAACCCTAATACAACACCTCAAATACCCCCATACCCTTCACTCATCCAATCCCTTTACCTTACCCTTGCTTGAATCGCAGTCTGACCTTTGCTTCTCTCTTGAAACATACCTCGATTTTGAAAATCCCACTTTCTGTTATTCTAATTGTCCTGGTGTTGTTTCTTTTCCTATTAGGGGAGAAAATGCCAATCCTCCGATGCTCACTTTGCTTGCTGTTTTATCTTCCGAATGTGCTAATTTTGGTCAAAATTTGATTGGGTTTCCGAAAGAAATTGTTAGTCAGCTTCTTCCTTCGGAGGTTTATGCAATTAGGAATGAAACGGATCATTGGAATGAGTTTCCTTTTATGTATTCATATCGTGTTCTTCGTGCGATTTTGGGATTAGGGATGAGTAGTGTGGAGTGTTTATCTACGTGGGTAGTTGCTAATTCAGCTAGGTATTATAGTGTTGTACTTGATTTAGCAATGAGGGATCATATACTTGTACTGTTTAAGCTTTGTTTGAAGGCTATAGTTAGGGAATCTAATGATTTAGCTAGTACATTTTGCAATGGAGAAGCTGAGGAATCAGTTTTGAGTAATCGAAGTTTTAAGTGTCCTGTCTTAGTTCAAGTCTTCGTGTGGTTGGGAACCCAGCTTTCTGTGTTATATGGAGAAATGAATGGGAAGTTGTTTGCGATCAACATGCTAAAGCAATGTATCTGTGACTCTGCATTTAGTTCTTGTATGTTCAATGAATCTACTGATATGAAAAGTGGGGATGACAATCTTCAAGAGCCACAGGAAAGTGGTGAACCACTTAAAAGAAGAATGGAAAATGAGGGAACAAATGTAATGGATGAAACACTCTCTAAAAGTGCAATTTTTGTTTCCCAAGTAGCAGCAGCTGTTGCAGCATTGTATGAACGATCCATGCTTGAAGAAAAGCTCAAAGCACTTAGGAGTTTACCATCACTTCCAGCTTACCAACGGTATATTACCTTTGCTCTTCTTAGAATGGTATTCTGAAGATGTCCATATGTCTAGATGTGCATCACAACATCCCAAAAAAAAATGAGAAGGAAAAACACAAATTCAGCAACTCTTACTTAAGTGTTTTATTAGTTTTTGTTTTTATATTACTGACTATTTTCTTTGGATCCTAGCGTAGATAAATGCTATCTGACTTGAATGATCAAATTTTGCGTTTAGAGTTTCGTACCCAGGCACGTAATCCACTTGCCAACTGATCCTTCTTTCTTTTCTTCAATTTTAGATGGTAAAAAAGAGAAGACACTTGAGCTTTTTTTTGGACAAGTGCATGCTTTCTGTTAAGAAGATTAGTCTATGCATTGATGTCAAAAGTTGGGGGTTAACTTGGTTCAAATTGAAGTTATGATTCATGAATGATTTTGCTACTAAGCCCAGAGTTTCAACTGGATTTATAACGACCATACATCTAGATGCATAGGACAATAACATAAAGTTGAAGGGATGAAAAGCATATCTTCAACTATGTAGAAAGTTGTATCTGTCTCACAGATGATTTATATGCAGATGAATAAAAAAGTTCTTTCCAGCCCTCTGGTTTGCGATAAAATACTTTCTTTTTGGCTAAGCTTTTGTGAGGCCAAAAGTGCTTATTCTTAAAATTGAGGTGTTAGGCCAGACTTTTAGGCGAAAATAAGTGTTTTTAGGAAGTAGAAGAAGTTTCTCAGAAGTACTTTTTTTGGAAAGCAGTTTTGAGAAAATATACTTAGAAGCACTTTCTAAAGTCTTGGCCAAACACTAGTTACTTCTCAAAAGTACTTTTCAAATCGATTAATCAAAGATATACTGCTTCTCACCAAGAGTACTTTTTTGAAAAAAACCCTTTTCAAAATAAGTTGATTTCAGAAGCTTGGCCAAACAGGCTTAGTAAAGTAGTGATGTGCAAAGATAAAGCATCTACAATTTGTGCAAAGGTGTTAAGAGCAGGAGTTCTTTATTGCTGTTTTTTTTTTCTGATCTCAATCTTTTCGTCAAGCATGAAATAAGAATATACTTAGTGTATTTTTCCTATAGTATATTGCTAAACAGTTTTCTTTGCAGATCGATGGAGCACACTTATATTTCAAATAAAGCAGATGAGGAACGGCAAAAACGCCCTAATTACAAACCCCTGCTTGAACATGATGGCCTTCTATGGCAGCGTTCGCAAAATAATCAGGTGTGTTTGCTTGTCAAATGGTACTTTGAGTCGTTGCTGATCTTGAAGCAATAAATATATATAAGGGCTAACCAGTGTAGAAACATTTGGGATAGAAGTAGCTTCTGAAAGTACTATCTGTTTTTGGGAGGTTAAAGATTAAGAGCATTTTTGCTTATATTTCTGTTTTTCCGACCCTTCAGATCTTCTTGAGAAAATTCATCCTAACAGAATACAACAAATTAAAGTATGCTTTCTGTTTTATCCTTTCTTCATGGTCTCTTCTAGCACTGAATATAGACGTGGTGCCAAAAAGACTGTTATTTTTTAAAGTTTAATGTGCTAATTAATAAAATACAAAACTGGAATGTGTTTCAATATGTTTGTGTCTGGCTAGAAGTTTCGAATTCATTGCACTTGTTAGTCAATCTGTTTGTGGATGTGTTACTGTGTGAGAGCAGTGCACTCTGCTAGTAGTGAAGGTTGCAATGGACCAATTTATGCTTGCTGCACCATAGGAATTTGATGTGAAATTTAAGATCACTTATTACATACAAGGGGTCGTTTGGTTGGAGAGGTTAGAAAAAGTAGTCATGGTAGTATTATTTATTGTGTGTTTGATGACATTTTCATTTCCAGTATAACTTATACGTTTATTGAGCTTGTATCTCATATTGGTTGCAACACGGAAGAACTTGTATTGTCAGAAGATGTACAAGTATTATTAATCTCTGCAAAACTATACCCGCACCAGAATCTCAACTAGTCCATGAACCAAAATGACCCCTGAGTGGCATTTACAATTTCTTTTAAAAAATTTAGTGAGACAATTTCGGGTTATAGTATGGAGGATGAGCAATAACTAAATATCATATAAATGCATCTCGTAAAAACTAGAAACTCTTATGAAAAGCTATATTTAATATTTAGTTGGATTTTTATAAAATCTACATTAAAAGGTATTGATAACACTTTTTCTGTTAAAATGACTGAAATATCCTAAAGCTATTTGTCAAAAATTATAAATCTCAAATTTTTTTTAAAAATCTAAAAATATTTCTACATAAATCAGATGAATGATGGAGAAAAAGTATAGAGATAATTAAAAGCTATGTTTTATGTGGAGTACTTCAGAGAGTTAAATAAACATATTAGGGATACCATCGTAAAAGGTTTTGTCAAACCAAAATTGCATATAAGCTATAAAATCATAAGTTAAGGGTAACCAAACTTAAGTATTTGGTCGATTTTTGCTTATAAGCGCTAGTTTGACCAGCTTGTTAGCATGGTCAAACACCTCTTAGCGTTAAACATTTTCAGATGATAAAACTTAAGACCCTGATTCCTTAAAATTCAGTGACTTAAATTCTTCAGTATGCGAAATTCACTTAAAATTGGTGAATTAAAATATTATTTAGTGATATGCAATTTAACTTTAAAGCTTCAGTTACTTTAGTCTTATCAGTTTGATCCGTACTCCTTTCTTAATCTTTTGTGTGGCATTTTCAGGACACAGATAGGACAAAGACTAGAGAGGAATTATTAGCTGAGGAAAGGGATTACAAACGTAGAAGAATGTCATATCGCGGGAAAAAGTTGAAGCGGTCAACAACACAGGTACATTTTGCTTCTTAAGATTTGACTGTGTTTTCTCTGTTGTTTTTCTATCAAGTCATGTATATCATTGACCTAACTCTGAGTTTGTTCCTTCAAAAATCAATTTGCGAAGAAGAATTCTATTGATGCCCATCTGGTAATGCAGAAAGCTTTGTGGACTTCAATTATTTGCACTCGTTATAGATCTCGATCTTTATGTCTACTCATTTTGTGTATTCAGCTACTTCTTTCTGTTCCCTATACACCTTTTTCTTTTACATCTTCATTGATGTCCTCTTCTACCTTTAGGTTATGAGGGACATAATTGAGGAATACATGGAGGAAATCAGGCAAGCAGATCCCATCAATTGCCCAACAAAAGGAGCTGAAGGGACCAAATTTCCGCCGTCCGCATCCTACAGGGTGGATAATAATAATTATAAGGATAAAGCTGAGTCTGGAAAGAGGCAGCCAGATTCGCCTGCTTTAAGCAAAGTAAGGGAGGGTGGTTATAGGGAAGAGTTTCATACTGATGGAGAAGTCAATTCAACAGATTGCAAATATGATTATTCTGAAAATATGGAAAAAGCATCTCAGTGGCATCATCGACATTTAGTGGCCCAGAGAAGTAATGGGAGGTCCAGACAGGACAAAAAAGATTACTCTAGAAGCCCAAATCAGCGAGTCGGTCGTGCATATTCACGTGAGAAATCGATCAGCAAAGAGAAGAGAGACTATTCAAATGATTCTAGATTAAATTTTTCCAGAAGGTACCACAAATCAATTGAGGAGAGTAGTCCACATAGGGAGAGAGGTGATCATCATTTTGACTTCAAGAAACGGAAGCCAAGGGATGCTTCTGATGATTTTGAAGACCGATATGATCCTTCAGGACCTTAGAAAAACTGTGAGAAAATGTCCCACTATTGCAGCTAGTTCTCTTTTTGTCAGGTTAATCTGGCTATGTGTTGATATTGGAACGGCATCACCATCAGAATTTATTATGATTGGTCTCATCAGAAAAGAATTTCCTGTGACTGGTGCCTTTTGTGGTCTACCGGTCAAATTGGCTAGGTAAAGCAGCTATGGGTTTGACTAACCTAAATACTTAAATTTATTTTGCTTTTTCAGGAAAGACTGAATTCATATTGCTGGTTGATTTTTTCCTTAAAACCTTGCAGTAGGAAGTCATGCAGGTGTCCGCAGTTTATGCACTTCTGTATCCTTCCATGTATCCTTTATATTGATTTTTCTTGGCATTGTCTTAAGATTTATTGTTCTCTGCCTTTTTTCCCTATCCAAAGAAATAATTTTTAAGCGGTGTAGGGTATGGCTAAAACCTCAGTGATAATGTTCTTCATGTGCACATCATATATATAGTAAGTTGTTCTTTACCATAGTGCTGGGTATAACTTGACCTGAAATGTAACATTTGTTGCTGAGTTCCTTTTTATTGTTGGAACAGATATTGTTGCACAGATCTAATGCTAAATCCTTTTGGTTTGTTGGTTGTGCTTCAATGTACAAGTGTAAACACAAGTTATTGAAGTAAGATTTGCTTAGTTACATTCTTGGTTCACTGTTGGGTGAAGTATCTGGTTCTGAGGGACTCAAAACTTAATTAGCTTTAGGCATGTTGAAGGCGACATTCCAGATACGAGATTTGCTTGTATAACTGTACATTACTATACAGGAATAGTGTGTAGTATTATGGTAGCAATAGTTTTTCACTTTACATATAGGTAGTATCATGTATGTTAGTCATATTACAGAGGACATACCTGGTAGAAGACTGCTTGATGCAGCTTCAGGTGTAGGCCTTTTGAGTTGCAATCTAATTGTTTCTGTACTTCCCACAGCGGATATTGAAAGTGGGCAGCTCATCTGCACTCAGAAGGTGCAAGAGCCACACCAAAAGATTGGATTCCTGTAGTAGTAGTCAATAATAATAGAGCTGAATCCTTGAGCACTTTAAGCACATCTCCAATCAGTTTGATTGTTTTAGACAAGTCTTATAGGGAATCTTAAGGTGGCAACTATAACAAAATCTTGATGCCTAGATGTACCTGAATTGTGCCAGTTAGAAGAAACTTGTTATTTTGCTAAAGGAATTTATTTCTCCCTGTGAATGAGAAAGTATCTGATGATAAGCTTCTAGACTGACATGAAAGTTCATATACAAGATAAAACAAAATTTTATTTTAGAAAGTTAAACTTAGTATACATGCTAGGTTCACATCTGGATAAGGCATCAAGTTCTTGGGCCTTCCGTTGACTCCGCATATGCATGTTGAAGATGACATTTGATATTATACAGGAATAAGACATTAGTTTTATGGTAGCAATCTTTAACTAAATGCATAATGGCAAGTATCACCATGTGCATTAGATATATTGCAGAAGATATTCCAGGTAGCACATATACAGTTGATGCTGCTTCAGGTGTTCAATTTTTCAGGTTGCAGTCTAATTGTTTTTGTGGTTTTAATTGCAGACTTAGAAAGTGAGGCAGTCACAATAAAGATGTCCATACTAATACCCATGTGAAGCATTAGGATCTTGACGGTCTCCTAATTAGGCAACTATTGTTGTATACTTTTAATGCCTTTATATACACTGAATTGCTTTGATATGTATCTACAAAGTTTGTACTGATCTACAAACAATATTGAATATACTATGAATATGGTAGGCTGCCATTTGTTTTAATTAAAAAGTAGGAGTGAGCTACTGGATGCCAATAACAATAGTGGGATATTTAGCACTTCCAAATTTACCAATATTTCTAACATTAACAACGCGAGCTGTAAATCTTTAGCTCAAAATACAATAGCTAATTCGTGATATACAACATTACATATATACAAAAGTTGATTTCGTTTTCTTCCTTGAATCCAAGTATCAGATTCATTCAAAACACCTCAGAAATTACACCGAATTATCCCCATATATATAGCAAAATACCCATGGGACTTGTCCAAGTGCTTACCTGAAGCGAACAAATTATAGCAAAGGCGGAGATGATGTTTTTGATGTTGTTAGGCTATGATTCTGTCCCATTTTATGTGACACATTTTGATTTGACATGGTGTTTTGAAAGGAAGATTTTTAAAATTTATGGTCTAAAATAATTTTTAGATATTTGTGTGGTTTAAAATCATTTCACTGAAGATAAAAGAGGTATGTTAAAGTTGATTGTTTCTAATTATGACAAGGTGACATTTTTATCTGAATGGACTAAAAAGGAAAGAGCGTTACATAAAATAGGATGGAGGAGATTACTTCTAATTTACACAAAAATGGGACGGAGAGAGTTACTTTTAATTTACACAAAAATTGCGCAAAATTAGGTGAGAAGATAAAGAGTGTGTTTGGTATGAAGGAAAATGTTTTTCATGGAAAATTATTTCCTAGAAAACAAGTTGATTTTTGACTTATTTTCTCATGTTTGGTTGGTGACTAGAAAATATTTTCCGGAAAATTTTTTTAGTGTTTGATTTATGAATGAAAAATGTTTTTGAGAAATATCTTTTATTTTTACTAGAGTAGAAAATAATTTTTGAAATTGAATTTTTTTTTTAAAAACAACTTAAATTGTTTTTGGGGGGGTGGGGTTGAGGGTAGGGGTGAAATATTGAAATTTTGAAGTTGAAAATATTTTTTAAAAACAAACTTAATTTTTTTTTGGGGGTGGGGGGCCTTGTAGGGGGTGGTTGGGGTGAGGGGTGGTAGGGGGTCGAGGGTAGGGGTGAAAAAATGAAATTTTGAAGTTTGAAAATATTTTTTAAAAACAAACATTTTTTGGGGAATGGGGGGGGGTGGTAGGGGTGGGTGGGGGGGTCGAGGGTAGGGGTGAAAAAAAATGAAATTTTGGAGTTGAAAATATTTTTTAAAAACAAACTTAAATTTTTTTTTGGTGGCTGGGGGGGGGGGGGGAGGTTAATAGGGGCTGGGTGGTCGGGGGTCAAGGGTAGGGGTGAAAAAATGAAATTTTGAAGTTGAAAATATTTTTTTAAAAAAAATTTAAAATTTTTTTTAGGGGGTGGGTGGGTGGGGGGTCGAGGGTAGGGGTGAAAAAAAATGAAATTTTGAAGTTGAAAATATTTTTTAAAAACAAACTCAATTTTTTTTTTTTGGGGGGGGGGGGGAGGGGTGGCAGGGGAAGGGAGGTGAGTGGTCAAGGATCGGGATGAAAAAATAAAAATTTGAAGTTGAAAATATTTTTTAAAAACAAACTTAATTTTTTTTCTTTTAGAAGGGGGTGGGGGGGGGGGGGTGATAGGGGGGCTGATGGGGGGAGGCGAGGGTAGTGGGTGGGGTTAAAAAAATAAAAAATTGAAATTAGAAATATCTTTTAAAAACAATTTTTAATATTTTTTTGGGAGGGGATGGTGGTAGGGGGTGGGGGTGGGGGTAGGGGTGAGGGTCGGGTAAAAAACTTGAATTTAAAAACATGCTTTAAAATTATTATTTTTGATGGGGGGGGGGGGCTGGTTTGAGGGTAGGGACAAAATAAATTGATTTTTTCAACAAAAAAGTAATTGTAATTTGAAGTTGGAAGAGAGTTTTGGAAAATGTTTTCCTTAAGTTTTGAAGGGAAGGCATTTTTCCTTAAATTTGAGGAAAATGAGTTGATTTGGAAAACATTTTCCAAAACATTTAACCCAACCAAACATGAGAAAATTGGAAAACATTTTTCGAAAAATGTTTTCCTTCATACCAAACACACCTAAAATATGAGTCAATTTTGATAACATTATTGCCTCAATTAATAGTGTAATTATCTCAAGGATTTTTATGTATCTGTGTAGGCAACAAAAATGAATTTCAACAAAAATTGTCGTATGTATTTGTAATGTGTTGATATTGTATAAATACTACTCTCTCCATTTCATATTAAGTTAATTTTTGAGGCATTTTTCATTTATCAAATTAACTTAATTGTTCAGTTTTCAAGACTACTTTTAGAGTATTCTTCCAATTTTACCCTTCATTAGTTAGTATTGGAATTAGTGATTAATTAATATTTAGTTATTTTAATCATAAATTTGACAATAATTAATAAGGGTAAAAATGGAAAACTAGGTTCAATTTATGTCTTAATCTACTTTTCTTAAATGGTGCGAAACACCTCAAAAATTAACTTAATATGGAATGGAGAGAGTATATACTATGTCTATATAATGTATGACTATGTATTAGAGATGTATATACATTCATATACATTGTTCATACAATACTTATACGTTGCAGATTCTAAACTACCCAAATTTTAGATATGTTCAAATCGTTGGATGCCTTCATTGGTATGTCAAATCCCTCGACAAGTTCACGAGATCCGATTTGAGGAAGATCCTTACGTAAATCTACCTCCCCATTCTCATCTTCGACAATGACCACTAAGGGGAATATTCTTTGGACCGTGACGGTATGTCAAACAACATATGAGTCAGGAAATCCAATCTTGCAACGTTTCTATGTCGTATCAAAAGATAGTTTGCACCTGTCACCAAAGATTGAGGCAATCAAGAATTGAGTTTGACCTAACTTTGGGATTGATGAAAGAAATTTTATGGGGCTTGCTAGTTATTATCGTAGGTTTGTGAAGAACTTTGCTTCTATAGCTACACATTTGACTAGGTTGACTACAACACCCATCTTGACCTTGTTGATAGAAGGTAAAGATTTCATTGTTATTCTGATGCTTCAGGTTCGGGGTTGAGTGTTGTGTTGATATAGGAAAGAATGTCATAACTTATGCTTCCATACAGTCGAAGGTCCATGAGAGGAACTATCGTACCAACGACTTGCAGTTGACAGCGGAGGTGTTTGCTCTCAAGATATGACGACATTATTTGTATGTAGTTAAGTGTTCAGTGATCATCATAATCTTCAATATGTGTTCACTTGGAAGGATCTGAACTTGAGACATAAAAGATGGATGGAATTGCTCAAAGATTATGATGTAATCATTCAGTATCATCCGAGCATGACTAATGTGGTAGCAGACACATTGAGCCAAAAGAAAGTTAGCATGAACATGCAGTTTGGCCTATTTGGGGATATCAAAGCGGCCTTTGACTAGAAAAATTCAAACCTTGTAGTCCAAATTTATGCAGTTGGGCATCTTTGAGAAATGGTGTGCTAGCCAATATTGAGATTAGCCCACCTTCATAGAGAAAATCATGACTAAACAATTTGAGGATGAAGAGTTGGCCAAACTCAAAGATAATGTGGAGTTGGGGAGGGGGGGAGGGGGGAGATGCCAAACTTGATGCTAATGGTGTGCTCAAGTTTAGAAGGAGGACTTGTGTTCACTTCGAAAACTTGACCGCACCACTTACGATTTTATGTACATATAAATGGTAAAAAATAAACATGAAAAATACAACAACAAAACAATTAAGTAAATAATGAAAATGTTATAAAATAATATATTGTGGATGTCCACTACATCAAGAAGTTACTCCATTACTTTCCTCCATTATGAAGATAACCATAACCTCCACCTTTATAACCATTATTCTTGTAACCTTTCACT